GTTTAAAGTCTGCGTTTGCCTAATATATTTTAATATCAACGATGTTAATTACTATTTTTTTTTTTTTGTAGAGCATATATTAATAGGAATAGTAATAAAATTAATGAAACCGAGACGCAGAAGAAATATCTCGACTTGGCTCACGAGATGACCGGAATGTGGGGTCTACTAAAGTCATCCCAATCGATCTGTCGGTGAACGCTCCTATCCCAACCAGTCGGGAACAACACCTCAGACGGTTGGGATTCCGAGGCGGCTCACTCCCCAGAAAGAAATCCTCTTGGATACTACCTGCACTATTACGTTGGTTTTTCTCCCTAGGACCCTGAATCTCGGCCGACTGTGCTTCTACTGAGGGTTATTTTGCCATCTCTCCTCCTGAAGAGGAGAGATGTGAATTTTATTAAAAGGAAATTAATAATATTAATTTATAATAAGAAATTTTGTTTAGTAGACTAACTTAAAAATGCACAATCGGAGCAATTCTTAAGTTTTAAATTTTGCATGCCTAATTATGACACAATATGAGGACTTATACCTATTGTTAAGATCTATACACTTACCATGTTTCTTGTAAATAAATAAATCAATAAAATTCACTGAGTTTAAAAACAAAATTTCTAGAACGAATTTTCTGATTGTCTTATGAGCATTGCAAATGACAAATTTCTACGTGGATGTAGCATTAGTAAGACAATAAATAATATAATATTCATACCAGTTAACGAAATATGTGTACCTTATACATAAAATATGTTAAATATCACTATTGCTACCACATAAAATCAAAAACCCCATTGGTAATTCCGGGTCGTCTCGCACGCAATATGGGGCGCCATTGTAGCCTAAATTCCCAGCAAACAGCGTTCGAAAGCGCGTACTTAAAGGTTCTCTTTGAGGCACTGAACCAATTCGCAATCGTGTCGACCTTGGCGCCCTACTGCTTGTTTTCGATTTAATAACGCTCTTTATACTTTTAAAAAGGTTACACGTTATATTAACGAGATATTTACCGTTATTATACCTTTGAGAGCTCCTGATATTTCGACGGTATTACAAGTAAAAATCAGCAAAGTCTTTTAAAAATGATCTATATATGATTAAAAATTTCATATATATTTATAATTAATGACGATTTCCATGTAAAAGTGATGGGTAGATTGTTTTGTGCCAATAAAATCTTGGAATTGATTCTAAATTCCACGAACTGATTTAGGAAACTATCTTTTCTGAATTGGCTCAGGTCTGGGTGTACTGGGCTGTATTTATAATTCCTTGTCTGGTTTTTCGTAACATAGGATATTTCTGGGCTTGATTAATTGATCAAGATTAGTATGATTATATAGTACTAATATAGTATAGTATAATTTACAACTTATCATTGGCCCACCTTTTACCATTTATTTGGGGTCGGCGCAGTATGTTTTCTTCTTTCACAAGTCCTTGTCAACTGTCATAATTGGTCTCAATCCTTTTTTATGCACTATTATACAAAGTCCGTTTTCTTTTTCTTCAGATGTTCCATTTATAATTCGATAGTATTTTTTGTGTGTATATTACGCGTTTACATCGCCAATTTTTTAATTTCTAAATCATGTTACTCACAGATAATGCAGCTTTTTATAGGTGAAACTATTTTTAAAATAGTTAAGTATTTTGAGGTTATCAATTACATCCAAAACATCAAATCAATCCTCTTTATAATACTAGTTTAAACATATCAGTAAACTACGATACATGTATTTTTTTAAGGCACAAGTAGTTACACTTTACGTTCAAGTCTCTTGTGCCAATACAAGTTCAATATTTAACCCTTCATAACAATGAGAACCGTTAGTACCGAAATGCCAAAAGCCAGAAAATGCCAGACACAGTAGATGCGGGGCAAACATTTGTTCCTTTCCCATGCCCCTTTGTTACCCCCTTTGTTGCGAAGGTGGCTGCGGACCTAGTTAGCCAATTTATTTTATTCAATCATATAATATCAACTACTGTTATGATTCTTGTAAAAACTTTCTTATAAACCTAGTGGTGTTTTTGCCAAATTTGCAAGTGTATCACTCTTTTGGTTTAACGGATTCTCTAATTACAGAGAACGGAGTTACAATACCTTTTTCCGAGGGAAAAGGGATTGTTAGTAGTGGGGATCTAACACTCTATTTGCTAGCAATACACCCTATCAGGTCGACTTCCACGCAATTTTACCTAGAAACCGTCTCGGTTAATTCTTGTAGAATTCGTCATGATGGACTAACTGATCTGATTTTATGCTAACTTAACATCCTTCATTAGTACTCCGCCAGCGTATACCGATAAAGCAGACGGGGCTACCATTTCATTCTTCACCTTCATATCAGCCATTATCTGTCCACTGGTGAACATAAGCCTCCCCATAAGGAGGGTTTTGCCAGTAACTGCTACGATTGGCAACCGCAGTTAGGTTTTTGTTATGTTGTAAGAGGGATGCTGCTGTCCATACCTCGATAATTAAGTTTTCTTATTTGGTTTCATTTATTATTGTACATATATTATTATTTACAGTTAAACAATTGCATGAAACATACGATTACATTGTGGAAACGATTACCACAATTTGTTTTCCAAAAACAGTAGCGAGCGAACGGCGCGGTTTATAGTTCAAACTAATGCTTACTTTAGTTACAATGTACAACTCGCTGATCGTATACTAAATGTTTAACGTTCGTTTTATGATTTGATGAATGGCATTACGACACATAAAGTGGATGGAAATATGTATATCATAGTACTGTACTAACGAGCAATGACTATAAGAGGTACGTAAGTTTCGTGGTTGTTTAATTGATTGCAGAATTATCATTGATATGTTTATGGCTGGCTCGCTAACACAAACAATACAAATAATGGTAGAGTACGTACTGGGGATCTACCATGAAATGAAATTCCAAATTTTCGAACTCAATTTCGTGTTTTTGTTCATACCGATATTGATCCAGTAAATGGAACTTTACATTTCGTTCGTCATAAATCCTACCATAAAATTCCAAAGAAATGATATTTTAATATTTTTTATTATTTTTAAACAGTATGTACCGTGTAATTTTAACATCAAATTTGTTTGTTTTGTCCCAAAATTTCGGAAAAGATTTTGTGGTAGGCTAATCTTTTCATGTTTATTACTGGCAAACTAGTGTTAACAATTCATCTATATGTACTACCAGACTGTTTTTTGTATCTAATATATTTTTTTTTGTAATGTGGCCAACAAACAGTAAATAAAATGAGTTAATATTCAATCACCCAAAACATTAAATTGTAGGTAAATAAATTATTAAAAATAGTGTAAATTCGTATATTATTAATTTTTACTATATTTATAATGTTTTTTTTTTTTTATACCACTGAGGTGGCAAACAAGCATACGGCCCACCTGATGGTAAGCGGTTACCGTAGCCTATGAACGCCTGCAATACCAGAGGTATTACGCGCGCGTTGCCGATCCTGAAGAAACCTCTTTACCCCCCTTTTGAAGAACCCCATGCTGTAGTCTCTCGGGAAAACCTCGGCAGGGAGCTCATTCCATAACCTGAGTGTTCGTGGGAGAAAGCATCTCTGAAACCGCGTTGTACGCGACCATGTAATGTATTTTATTATATTAGTAAAATTAGCAGTATGTTTACATGTCTAAATTAAATGACTAAATTATGATCTATAATATAAAAATATGCAATCATAAACATTCACAAAATTAATATGGAAATAACTCAAGATGGATACTGAGTTATTACCAATTGAAAAAAGAGTTTATCAATAAAGATAATTTATAAAAATGTCAAAAAAATAGACGCATTGAAAAATTCATTTTTAAAATAAAATAAAATTGATTAAATAATATGAAGTAATCATTACAAATTGATTTACAAAATAAATAACCAGCTACTAATTACGGTATATAGTACATAAAATTTACCTCAGGATAGCTGAGTAGCTTCATTTAATTGTGCTACCAGCAAACGGACGAACTAATAAACTCACATCTTAGAGTACTGTGAGTGTGAAGAGCTTGAGGGTATTGTTCGAGGAGTGCGCTCGTATCGACGTTGTAATATTTGAACTAGTTGGATAGCACTCCAGGTTCATTTCCCATGTTATTTTTTACGATATATAAGCTACTCAATTTCATTAATTCTTTTTGTATGCAATTAACTTGTAGTGTAGCTAACAACCTGATCCAAAATGGTAACTATCGCCTATACTTGTGATTTATCATGCATATCATAGAAAACTATGACGTCCATGATGCCCTTCATATGTTACTATTCCTGAGGACTTAGATCATTCCATAGTTTTCCGTACCCTATTTTCATTGCCATATTCCAACTGTCTATTATTTTATTTCCTTTAAAGATTTTCAAGAATTCATATTAATGACATTACACTAGGATTTTTTTGAATCTGCTTTATGATTTCAGATATCACTCGATTCATCATCATCATCCTATCAGCCTTTAACCATCCACTGATGAAAATAAGCCCCCCCCCCTAGGGGTTTTAGCAGGATCACTAGTAATAACACGATTAGTCATTAATATTGCCTCGCATAATCGTCTTTAATAAATTGACTATTTATAAACCTAATATCTACTTTAAACTACGCATTACATGTCTTTCTCATAGCAAATAATGATACTTAAATTAAAAAATTAAAGACGTCTGTACAAAATATCACACTTTTTACTTCTAATAGTTTATACAGAGTGTTGACATGACAATCATTCAATCAACTTTGATTAAGATCAGTCATTAAAGGTACGAGAAAATTGGAAAAAACTTGGCGTGGCTGTCGAATGGTCCCATTGCTAGCAACATATACTATCTGGTCAACTTCCAGGTGACCTCTCATGGAAACCATCGTGGTAAATTCCGGAGCAAATGGTCAAAATAGACTAACTGCCCTGACTTCATCCTCACCTGTCAATCCTTACTGGTAACTCACTGCAGCTGAAGTTACCATTTCATTTTCATTACATAAAATTCTTAGCCATTTATTACACAACACAACAAGAATTAAGTTTGTATTGTCATAGCACAAACAAAGTATCGACCAGAAATTTATCTCCGCAGGTAAAGGCCGTTCTTCCACAGCCTCTATTTTTTTTTTTAAATACCGCTCAATGACATCTACGCTAAATAAACTTACAACAATATTTCATAAATAACTGCTGGAAAAAAGTTCTAAAAAAGAAAAATATACGTTCTACAAAATGCCAAAGGAAAGGTGGAGAGGCAAAAGAGCTTTTATGGAACAACTTCGGCGAACAGTGTCGTACCGAGGGCGTTTACTAGGTATATTTAAGGTAAGTGTTCAGTAACAGCGAATCTTAAGTCTGAATTATTAAAGTGCATTTTAACAAATTATATTTTATCTTTAATGTGATATATCAACACCATATTAGACATTATCTCTTCTCTGTTAAACATAGGCTTCCTCCTTAACTGTCATAACAAACAGTACTGAGCCACTTGCATCCACCGACTGTAATATATTGGAGGTTATCACTCCATCTAGTGGAGGTTATCCTACACTGCATTTGCTCGTACGGGGTTATAACTTGAGAACCTTTATTCCCCATCGGTTCGGATATTATATGCGCAGTCCATAAAAATGCTTGTATTTCTATTTCTGTTGAAACACGTGATAACTCGAATTTCAGAGGATTAATTTCGATGATAGAATTTAATGGGTCAACTGTAATATTTCCGAATATGAAATTGTCACAATTTAATTTAAATTGAATTTAGGCCAAATGCAAGTTAAATTTGGCAATTTAGTGACAATTTAGTAGTGTCTATTATGAAATGCTATATCTAAAAGTAAAATGTCACTTTAATATTACAGCAATTGCTTTTGATATTAATATAATTAAGTCAAAACTATTTTAAATTGCTTATTGTTGGCTCATATCTAATTTAAAACTTTCATCGATGAATCTGATTAACGTTTTAGTTTTAGAAATAAATAAATAGGTTTAGAGAATTACTCCTCAAATCAGTAAGATTTAGCGTAAATCCAAGCAAAATTGTTTTTGTTTAAATAATAAATAGTTGAAAAGTATTAAATTCGAATCTTAATATTATAACTAATAATGCAAATAAAGTACTCTATTGTTACCCAGACGCAGACATTCGCTAACAAAGCGTACCCACATCGAAGAAACAGAAGGAAAAAACTGCACCGGCGGGCGCAAAACGTCCACGACGACAAACATCGTTGCCGAGTTCCACCGATCTTTGTAGATATGCAAAGCATCGTCCTTTGTAACATGATCTTATTGTGTTCAGAAATCCCCGGCGCCAACCTGAATACGAAACAACTTATGTCGATTTAGAAATTTATTAGAATTCCAAAGAAATTTTCATGCTGAGCGCGAACCAGTCGACGTGCGCTGAGCAAGTTATTGTTGCATTCCACACTAGTGCTCTTCTGTTTTTGTCTTGTATTATAGGAAATTGTTGAAGACGTTTCTTTAAAACGCACGTCGAATTGGAATACATTGGTCAAGAATTCTAATATGACCGATACTTAATGATCAGTGATGGTCAAAACCGCCAACCACAGTTAATGTTCCTAATTAATTGAAAAGATCTCATTTAGATTATCTTCTATCACATATGATTTCAATTGTATATATGTATTTATAAATATATTGTTGTATTTTATTCATGTTACTGTCTTTTTCTGTAAAATTTGTGGAGAAAATAAATAAATTTAAATATATGATTCTTCAATATCGGATATAACAAGAATAACTATAACAAGAATAACAATATGTCTAATTACTCCACCTGATATTACATTGTAAATATTTCTTTTTTCCGTAAATGTTTGTGTAAAGCATATTTGCATTGATTTTTAGCTTCAACTTTATAGCAAAAGACCACATAATTATCTACCTTTTTAATTTTTCCCTCACCAAGAAAATGTCTGTTCTCTCCGTCGGCTTCAAATGAAATAATTTTAAGTTTGAAATAAAAATTTTGTAATAATTAATTTCTGACCTAGCTACGTACCTTTATAACGTTCAAAACCTAAATTGCCGATAACATATTGTAAGATATATTGCCCCAAAGGTTCCACTATCGGAAGCCGAATCACCTATCAGACAGGACCGTACTCAGACCTCATTCCGGTGTCCATCCCGACCACCAATGACAATGACAAGTCGAAGATTGCATCTAACGGTTGCAAATCCCAGGAGTACTACCGTGACGGAATTGATCGGAGTAATTTGCCCGCGTTCGTGCTGCCTCGCATCGGTGATCCATCTTAGATCATTGCTTGAGTTATGAACGGATAGCGATACGGTATTTGACAGCGGCCATTATGCGAAATATGTACATCTATTTATTTTGTGTATTTTTTTTACATTCTTATTCAAAAGAGGGTTGCTCTATATTTCGTTGCTTCTAAATGGATGCAGTAATTTTTAACCATTTTTTACATTTGACTAAGAAGATAAACTTGGGATACATTATAGAGGGGTTGAATTGAGCAATTCATACTTGTAGTACCTTTATTAATATTAAAAATGTGAATGTTGGTTTGTTTGTTTAAACGATTGAACCAATCACTAAGAAATTTTGTATTTGTGTACTATACGGGATGGAAAAGGATATAGGTAACTTTTTATTTTAATCAGTAAATATATTCTGGGCACATGGACAAAGCTGCGGATAAAAGCTAATAAACAATAAAATCATTCTTCTGTGATTGTAAAAGAAAATAATAATGTGTTAATGTGGGTTATTGAGGGACAAATACACTACAAAATGTATACTTTCTATTGTAATATTACATAAATCACTACCAGATCTAAATTTCTACAAAAATCCTCGTACATGTGAACACACGTGTGCTGTTTGTAACTTTTGGGTTAGACATTAAGTAATTTTTAATAATAAAATTATAAACATATTTACTATTATTCGTCTAAATCTATAAAAATATATTTATATGTATGTCTTTCACCTGTGTTCGTTTTACTCTTGCCTCGGCTTCGCACGGCTTAAAAAAAGCATACTGCAACATGTTCACTCGCTGGTAATGTAACTTCCTACAGACGAAACATTTTTAAAATTTATTAAAAACTTTTTGAGTTTATTTAAACAAAAATAATCAAAACTTTTCTCTTTATTAATTATAAATTATAATATAAGTTACTTTAGATACACAATCAATCAATACATATAATAAAATCGTAAATGGTCGCTGTCTGTACATGGAAAATATACAAGAAAAACTATTAAAGGCCTTTATGAACGCAATAGAACCCAAGGCAATGATTTAAAAAAAAATCTGTTTGTCTGTATATTTGTACACCATAGTCTCAGAAACGGCTTAGCCGATTTGAATGCTTCCTTTAATGCGTTACAGTTTGCTCCGCTTAATATTTAGCGTTTGTTTCATTTCAATCGGATCATAAATAAAAAAGGTTATATCAATGTAAAGAATCATATATATAATAATAAAATGCTACAAACCAACCGATCAGCTGAAGTTGGAACAAACTATTTTTATTATATATATTGATTTTCGAAAATACTGTCTACTCGAATGCGAATTTGGGTCGAGTCGCTATTTACAAATATATTCATACTTTAATAAGATATAAAATCTAGCAAAATTTTCATAAGACGCTCCCGATCGTCACACGTCTTCCGCAAGAAACAGCCAATTCGATGCTTCTTGTCTGAAACAATTTCGCGCTACAAATATACTGGCTTTATGAGACTACTATTGGAGCATTCGTTTTGCCTGATATTCAGTTCTAAAGAAGAGTTATTGTGCCTTTTAAAGTGGGAAGTGATTTCACGAGATCGCTCTCGTGTTTACGCTATTCGATTGCTTAACAACAGACCACGTTAAATAATTGTCGAAATACATTTTGCGTTGTATTAGCTTTGAGCCAAGATTCGTCCGCGTTACCGGGACTTTTTTTATGCAACTTAGAATGACAAACAAGCTGACGGTCCACTTGACGGAAAGTGGTAACCGTCGCCTATAGACATGAGCAGTACCATAGACATAACAGACTATACTGTTTCGCCCATGATACGCCCCATGCGTTGCCATTCCTGAGGACTCAGGTGTTATTTCTCTGTACCCTGTAAATTCACACCATATCCCACTTTTCAAACAGAAACACAGCCATGCAAACACAACTACTTTACGGTTGAAACAAGAATGGGACAGAGGCACCCATGTAAACGACTTTTGTACAAAGTCTCCCTCTGGTTTTTATTTTATTACGAGCGGGTTCCTATTTTCTATATTATATATTGAATAACCGTTATTCAATATATTTGTTATTGAGCCAATATATGTATAGATATTTAAACTACAATCTTTGTTATCACCCACCCGTATTTCATAGTGATTGATTAAGCCGTTAAGGCACTCTAAGGTAATTAACAAACAAACTTACTTTCACGTTTATAATATTAGCGGGGATTGTAATAAAAAATTTTTCAATCAATTCAATTCTACTAATATTATATAAAAAAATAGGATTTAAATTCTATTGTATAATAACACATGTGAAGGATTTACTTGAATAAAACATAACATGCCCTTTTTGAAGAACCCTATACTGTAGTTTTTAGAAAAATAAAAAGAATATTATATATTAGTGCATCTTTATGAGTAGTGACGTCACAGTTCAGTAGTGCCCTATATTGTACTGTAACAGATGGACGAGTGAATCGATGCGACCTCCTTATTCCCTCTGATTTACCATAATCTGAGACAAATGAAATGCTTACATTACCATAACAATTTCTGAGTAGAGCGTAGTATACAGTGTTTGGAAATTTGGGTAACATTATAATGTGTTTTGTTCGAGCCCTTGTATTCATATTTGAATTGCTAAAATTTATGTAAGGAAAAGTAACAGTCTGGACAGACGAGGGACATTTTAACTGAGATGGAAAACTCCCATGATATTGATCATGAACCTTATTTCTCTTTGTATGAACCATGTATTTCCATAACACGCGTGCGTAATTTTACTCGTAGTTTTTTTTTTTTTGGTGAGTGATAATGGAATGGTAACCCCACCCGCGCTATCGGTATACACCGGCGGGGCACCAGTGAAGGATAATAGATGAGGATGAAGTAGGTCAGTTAGCCCATCGTGACGAATTCAACAAGAATTGTTCACGATAGTTTCCAGGAGGAACCACGTGGAGGTCGACCTAATAGGGCATATTGTTAGCATTGCTAACAATCCCTTTCTCCCCATTCGTAGTTATTTATACACCGAACTAAAATTTAAGCCAAGTATTATTTTTCAACAAACTTAAGAAGCTAAAATCTTAAGGACCTTGCTGGTCTTACGCCAAAAATAATTTGAAACACTATCTAAATGGAGTCAAAAAAATCTATTTTAATTTTAATATTATTCACCTTCAAACCAAAACACAGCCGTGCAAACACAACTGTTTTACGTTTGTTTGAACCATGAGTTATGTTATTATTATTTATACATATTTATAACTAGCTTTTATCCATAACTTCGTTCAAGTAACCGGAATATCTTCAAAGATTAAGATAAAGAATAGCCTATGTCGTTCTTCTAAAAGCGGATATGATGAAGCATTTAGAATTTAAATCAAAACGTAAATTACGAAGTCTCATACATACATTGATATATTGAATCTACATTTTTAATAAATCCAACGGTTATTTAAAATCATATGAATCTGCAAACAAAAGCCAATATCTATCCAATGCAGAAGTGCGGAATCTTTAAAAATTTTCAATTCAACAGCGTCCCGGCGTCGTCGCACGGAGCCCGCCTGAATGAGGGTAGAATAGAGGGACGTGAAGCGTCAATTTTACGCGAGATTTCGCATACAATTCTGAGTTTCTGAGGGCTGATATAAACGTGTATAGGCGAGCACATATAGAATCGTTTAACAGCGTCGCTCTCATATACGTGTAGAATATCTATGGAATTGTAGCGCCCTAACACAATTAGAGTGAGGACGCTTTATGCGCAGTTACTTTATCTATCTTGATGTTAAGATGTCTATTAATATAGAATCCGTACAATATAGTAGATATCCTGTTACCTGTATCAAATATCAAGGACGGAATGTCCAAGTAAAAACAGTTTATAGTTTAAAAAATATTTGGATTTTTTTTATACAACTTAGAATGGCAAACAAGCTGACGGCCCACCTGATGGAAAGTGGTGACCGTCGCCTGTAGACATGAGCAGTACCATGAACATAACAGAGTATACTGTTTCGCCCATGATACCCCCCATGCGTTGCCATTTCTGAGAACTCAGGTATTATTCCTCTGTACCCAGAAAATTCACGCCATATCCCACCCTTCAAACCGAAACACAGCCATGCAAACACAACTGCTTCACAGTTGAAATACGAATGGGGCAGAGGTACCCAAGCAATCGACTTTTGTACAAAGTCTCCCTCTGGTAAAATAGCATATAATAGTTTTTTGCCATGAAAGTAGCAAACAAGCATATATATCGTTTGATGGTAAACAGTCATTGT